AAAAAAACCACAAAAAACAAACAAACCAAAAAAGTACGTTCTGAGGAGTTGCCTGGCAGGTAGGCGGAGATACCGCCCGCACCACACCGTAGTGCCCTTGCGAGTTTTTGCCAACTTTTCTGGCAAGCGCTGAGAAATCATGCGTACCGGCCCATTCAAAATTCCCGCCAGGATGTTTTGGCGACAGAGGAAGGAAGAGTAGTCACGGTAGTGCGAGTGAGAGAGCTGAAATCTCGCTTTAAAGGGAAGGAAAAGGGTGGGGGGCAATTTTCCCCCTCCCGCCTGCTTGCCACTCCACTACTCCACTCCCTTCCCCTCCCCCTCTCCCAGCGCGGCCAACCGTCTTCCCCCCTCCCCGCTGTCTTCTCTCCAGCTCCCCTCCCCTCCCTCCCCTCCCCTCCTGCTCCTTCCTTTACCGGTTCGAGTTGGGCCTGGCTGCATCGCAGAGTGGCAAGGAACGGGTTTATTTCTGTCGACTTGGACCGCCGAGACACCTCCCGTCACCAGCGTGGCAAAAGGAGGGGTATTCTGTCTATCCCGAGGAGGGTCCGGAGTGCAGCGCAGTGCAGTGCAGCAGTGTATCATCTCGGCGGGTGTGCGCAGTGTCAACTGTGCCGATCGCTCCGTTTCCCGTGCCTAGCACTCGATTTGAAGGTGAGCATTCAATTGGGCTCGAACGTCATGACTGTCCAGTCGCCTCACTTAATCTTGTAACCGATTGTTAGCGTGCGTTCGCGCCGGCCGCCTTGCCCTAGGCTGTCGTTGTGAAGGTTATGTTGGCCCAAAAGTGGGCGGCCGCTCCCCGCAGCTGTCAGTGACCTCCCTCGCGTTGACATTATTTAGTTTCGCTGTGTTTGTGTACAATCCTATCGCACATTGAGGTTTGTCTTTACACGGAGAGTCTACTGTGTACTTACTCTTTAGCTTCAAACATTTTCCTGTGGTAGCTGCATACTTTGTTGGTTGTAGCCTTTTAATTTTGGGATGCTCATCGGAGAACTCATTCAGTGAACGTATCCATCTCCCTTTATCTTTTGCTGTACCTTTTATGTGTGTTAATTCTTTCTCATTATGTGAACTTTACACTTAATTAAATTATGATAATACAAAATCTTTCCTAAATAGCAATTGAAATTATGGTTATGAGGGCATTGAATTTCAATCGCGTTCTCTCATATCTATCTAAAGTGTTTTGCAATCGAAGGTAATTATAGCTAGTGTTCAATGGAAATTATTTTATACCTCAAAAGAATAAATTACTGAGTTATTTAGTAATTATCCTTCACAAAGTTTATACCTGGATTGGTGGTTGCTAAATTTATATGAAATTTAAAATGTGGTAGACATTGCAAATAGGTTTTGAAATTCAGTATAATCAATATTTTCTCCATTAATGTACGGAATCTTTTCACAGCAAGTAATTTTAGAATGCAGAGAATTGTGGCTCCTCAGTGGCGTAGTGAACTATTATGTCTATGGTTAGGAGCGTGTTTTCAGGTGTTTGTTTGGGCTGCTCAGTACGCTTGCTTGGTGGGCCTACCTGCCCAAGTGGGACAACTTTCATGCAGAGTAAATAATGTTATGTGGTCTCTGTGTGCAGCAGCATGACATGGCACTGCACATTACTCTCATTGTTACACCTCCAAAACTTTTTTAAAAAATATTAAATTAAAATTTAAAAATTTAAAGAAAATTGAAAATGAAAAAATGTGTTTGATTTGCTGTGAACCAGCACTTCAAGTGGCTGAAACTGCTCTTCAATTACTCTTCTACTTGCAATTATATTTCTGCATAAATTGAGATTTTTATTTGCTGGAAGCGCACACTCGCCGGTGCGCGTGGTTGCCTTTGGCCGGGGCGCGCGGCTGCGTCCGAAGAGTCCCCGTCCGCGTGGGGCCCCCGGCGGCCCCTGCTCCAGGTCTTCCCTGGTGGGGGAGAGCGCTTCGGACGCGTTGACGTTCACCCGGCACCGTTGCGCGGGCCCGACCGACCCGACCGGCTGCGGCTCGCGCCCGCGTGGTGTCGGTCGGTGCGGAGTAACTTCGGCCTGCCACGGTAGAGTTTTTCGATCGGTCGGGTATAGCCTAGAACTTTAGCCGACCCGAAGCGGTTTCAAATGGAGTCGGGCTAAGATTTTCGGTCCTTGGGTCCTACCCGCGCGATCGAAAACACGATGCCACGAGACGAAGGGGTCAGGTCAGGCCTGGGGGGCGCTGCTGCTGTTGTATCGCAGGTCGGGGTGGCCGCAGGACGCCCTTCTCATTGACGGCGTTGGCGGCCTGCTGGACGATGAAGGCGTGTAACCGCGTGTAACTCGCGTTGAACCGCCGCCCGCTGCGCGACCGTGCGTGCCTCGTCGTGCCCCCTTTGTCCTCCTTCATGCTCATCATCGCCCTCCTCTCCTCTTGTTGTTCTGAGGGGCCTCTTTGTGGTCCAGACTCCCCCCCCCCCCCCTCCGCGCTCCCCCGCGACGTGCGGTCGCTTAGGCCCCTCCTTGCCGCGGCGAGGCACGTCTGCTCGTCCTCGAGCCCCGCGACGGCGCCCTTGGTGGCGGCGGGGACCTCTACTCTGTGTCGGGCTGCCGGCGCCGCCCGCCGCCGTCGAGGGGTTCGCGGTGGCCGCGGCCGAGAGAAGAAGCCGCACACGCCGCCGCCGCGGCCGAGCTGCAATCAGATGTGCGTGGAATGTTCCTAGAGGAGTTCCCCGCCTCAGTATTCCTAAGTCGTCTCGCCGCCGCTGGTCGGCCCGAATGTCCAGCTTTTGGTACTCCGCAAAAAAAAAAAAAAAAAAAAAAGTTTTAAAAATTTAGCCATGACGCGTCACTCCAGCAGTAGGTTTCTGCCCTTCTCCATCCTGCAGAATGCGGCAACCGCTGAGTGCTAAGTTTGGTTTGCATGCGAAGTGTTATCAGACTCAGGCATAAACGGCACCGTTTCACTTTGGCCCCATCGGCCTCGGTCAGGTTTCGGCGGTTTCGGCCGTGCCCAAATATGTGAGATTGTCTCCTAGTTTCAGCCAGGTACCTCCTCCCCTCCTCCCTCCCCTCCCCCCCGGATTCCATCCCACTTTAGCTTATGCCAATGATGGGAATATGTAAAGGAAGAGGCATATTTTTTTTCCTCATCTCTGGCCTGACCTTCCGTGGTCTTGAGCTTAGCTGTCTTTACTCTTCGAGGAGAAAAAAAGACATCGTACATAAAATCTGCCATTATTTTACCATAAGGACCCTACTACTGACGTGCAACTTTTGTTATTACTTCAAAAATACCTATCCGCCATCTCCTCGTTAACGGCAAACATTACCATTACCATTCTGTCTTGTCATCGCTTGCATCAAATTGCTTAATTTGTGTGTGTTCTTTTTTTTCCAACCGACGCGCGCCTTCGGACGTACCCAGCGTTGCGTTGATTGCGTCGCTCGCGTCTCGTCGAAGACTCTCTAACCCGGCGGGCAAACAATGAGCCAATGGATGGCCTGGTGATGGTGATGGACTTTAGCCGGCGTACCACACACTGACGGATCATCCTTGTGCCGACCTTTTTTCCTTTTTGCCCGAGCGTGTGCTTCGCACGATTTTCTCTCTCTCTCCCCCTAATGGCATTGCGATTTGGGCGGACGCAGACGGCTCTGGAGGAAGATAGGAGGTTTATGGACAAGTAGCAACGACGATGAAACTCGCGTGATTCGAGCTAAAAATTGCCGTCATTGACTTTTGATCGAACGTCAATATGTCGTTCATTTTGAGCCCCCGCGCGCGCCGTAGGATTTCGAGTAACATTTGACCTTGGTCGTGGACACTTGGTGACTTGAAGGCCAAAGGAGAGCAGCAGGAAGCAGACTGCAGCAAGTCGGCGGCGCCTTTCGCTATTTTTGGAGACCCCGCCGCGCGTCGTCGGTCTGATCGGTTTCCTGTTTCCGGCGCGGCGGCGGGAAATGTTATGTTGTGGAAAATTCTAATTTTATCCGCATGTTTTTCAATATATCTATATTTTCTTTGCAGGCGCCGCCATGCCGAGCGCGGTGGCGGACTTCTACAAGGGGGCGGATGTCCTGGTGACGGGTGCCACGGGCTTCGTCGGGGTGGCTCTCCTGGAGAAGCTGCTCCGGGGCTGCCCGGACGTGGGCAACATCTACTGCCTGATGCGGCCCAAGCGGGGGAAAGACATCTCGGTCCGCGCCGAGGAGTTCCCCAAGAACCTGGTATGTGCGCATGTGGTATTTTATGGGTGCATTAGTAGTCGTCTTCTTTTCAATCAGTCCTCAAGACTACTGTCTCTACCGGAAGGCAACGTGCCCCCCTCCCTCTCATTGCTCTTTCCCCTTCACTTTCCTACTTATCACTAATCAATTCGCTTATTTTTCCACTGTCCGAAATATTTTCCATTTTTGTGGACATAATTTTTTGCAGATGATACCTTGAAACACTTTATACTTAACATTAAAATACATTAGTAATACATCAAGGTGTCAGCAGCTTTAACTCTCGATAGGGTAAAAGAGGTAGAAAACTAAAAGGGGAGAGATCTAGCGCACACTGGCAAATACAAACAATGTCAAATATATTATTTTTTAATAAACTCATTTTTTTTCCTCTAACAGGTGTTTGAGAAGTTGATTGAGAAGCAAGGCAGTGATGTCTTCAAGAAGATCATCCCTGTGGCTGGGGAGATCGGAGAGGAGAACCTGGGGCTCAGCCCAGAGGATCGCAAGACCCTTCAGGCCAATGTGCAGGTGGCGTTCCACTGCGCTGCCACTCTGGACTTTGAGGCCAACTTGAAGACGACTGTCACCATCAATCTCTTGGGTACTCGGCGTATTGTGGAGTTGTGCAGTGGTATGAAGAAATTAAAGGTTTATATTTTCACTTTTTAACTATTCCAATGCTATTTTTTTTAATTATAAGATTTCTTCTATTTATTGTTTCTGGTCTTATTTGTTTGTTTTTAGGCTCTGGTGCATGTGTCTAGTGCATATGTAAACTCGAACCTTAAGGTCCAAGTGGATGAAAAACTTTACCCTGTACCAGATTCTGCTGACAAAATAATTGAAATGGCCTCATCATTGAGTGACGCTGCCTTAGAGGAAGCTACTCCCAAGTATGTTGTATTTTTATGTCTGTTTTTATAAAGAAAGAAAAAATAGTGTTTTTATTGATTTTTAACAATTTTCTTATTCAGAGTTCTTGGAAATCATCCTAACACATACACTTTCACCAAAGCTTTGGCGGAACATGAAGTTGCCAAAGGCTATGAGAAGTTCCCCGCTGTAGTTGTTAGACCAAGCATGAGTAAGTCCACTTTATCGTTTTAATCCTGTAGCTTTCTCTACTACTATTTCAATGTTTTTGTTATGT